GTGAAAAGTTGTAAATTATTTTAGATGAGAGCATAAAAAGTCAAATTTCAAAGAAATAAGTTTTAGGGCAGAAAGGGAAAAAATGTCTTTTGAAACGGAAAAGAAGAATTTTAAGTGTACATAAAGTTTGAAAAGCGCTGTATTTTGTGTTTTTACTCTATTTGCACCGTTTTTAGCTCAGTTTTTTTGTTCGCCTACTCCAAAAAAATAGTCGTTTGTGAAATATTAAGGACCCACCGCCGACCAAATTAAGAACAGAAGTCTTTTTTTTTGACTCTTCGTTTCTTGAATTTTACCGCAATCACATTTATTCTCTTCATTCCTTTTTTGTAACACTCAATATTCAATAATCATTGCAGTTTCTGTTCAATTTTAAATTTACCCGCCTAACTTGCTACTTAAGTGCTCTCCGGTACAGCGCCGCTGGCAAAAGGGTAACTTACTTACCAATTTATTCCGCCTATTCACCATGTGGGTGTTATGCTTCATTGGTTCATTTGCCGAATTGAAATTTTTATTTAATGCCGTTCGATTTTGTGTTAAGGGAGTTGTTACGAATGTTGCTAGTAGGTACGTTTTTGTTTCGCTTATTTTGGGTAGTTAATTGATTGCTCCTTGTTTGAGTCGTTGCGGCGTCACATTAATTGCTGCTGCCGCTGTGTTTGCTTTTTTGTTGCTTTTCTTATTGCATGTTTATTGATTGCTTGATTGATTGACTAATTTAATTTTATTGTCGAGTGGCAAGTTAAATAAGCGAAACGGTCCAAGGGAAAAAGTAGGGTGGCGGCAGCTTTATTGAAAATAAGTAAATACGTTAGGGCTGCCATAATCCTGAAGCCATCGACCAGCACACTTATCGTCCAAATCCAAAGCAAAGATACAAGTGAATATGGTGCCAACGTATTCCCTATAAATATAGTTTCATCGGTCTTGGCGTTGCATTATTTTGAAGTAATTTCTGATATTATAGCAATTTAGTTTTTAGGCACAATCCGTAGAGCTGAATGATTGATGATGATGAAACGCTCAAGTTCTGAAATTTTTTTAAACCATAAAAGAAAAAATTTCTCTCTTGACGGGGACGTAACTTGTAAAAATGTTTGACGCCTTTAACGTGATCTTGAATGCTTGTCTTACCACCATTAGCGAACTTCCGCATATTCTACAATGCGCCTTATTAACATTTTTGCCATTTTGAATATGCATAACCTGAAGATAATTTAGTTAGGCTGTCTGAAGTGAAGTGTCTTGTAAAAGACTTACCCGATAAGGACTGAAAAAAGGGTTTTTTATTTACGAATTTACTCTGAGCCAAGAGTACAATAGTTTATTCAACTTCGTTTTTTTTTCATGGTAAATAATCCGATTGTAAGAAATGTGGTTCAAGTTAAACATTTGATAACACATTTGTATGTCTGGCTGTAGCTAAACGTGCAGAGATGCTTGCTGTTATTTGTTGTTCGAATGCCGTCAGCGGCAACTTTTAAATTTGTATTCATTTTTTTTTTATGATTTTCTTATATACGAAAAATCATCCGTAAAGTGCAGAACACCATCAAACGACGAAGAAAATTTATTCAAGTTCAACATTTGATGTAACATTTGCAGAACGGCTGTGGCTGAGTATTCAGAGAACAAGGTTGCCAACTATCTTTGCCTATAAAGTGCCATATTAGGTATGAAAAAGTGCCAAAATCTGGCAAATAGAAAAATAAAAGTGCCAAAAAAGGTGTAATTTTTGTTTTAATCCTACCCATTTAGCATGAAAATTAGAAATAACTTCCTGAAACAAAAGTCCAATGCCAAAATAAGATAAACCAGTTATATACACTATAGTAATAAGAAAATTTTAGTTGAGAAAAAGAAGTGCAAGCAAAGGATTTCACAAAAATTTATTGAAATATTACTATTTTTCAGAACTGACATTTTGGCACTTTGTGCCAAATTGAAAAATTAATTGCCATTAGAAGTAAAATGGGGCCAAAAATGGCACGGTTTGAGCCAAGTTGGCAATCTTAGCAGAGATGCAGCGTGTTAAAATAAGAAAACAAATTTATGTTTTGTATCTTCGAATCATGCAAAAAGCATCTGTGAAGTGCAGAATATAAGCGTATTCAAACGAAAAAACGGCAACCAAAAACCTTAATAAAGAACAGCTTCAAAAAAACTTACTCAAAGGCATTCTTAAGTACGTCCTGCAAAAATCCTTCTGAAAGCCTTTCTTTGAGTAGCGAAAGCAGAAGCCCTCCAATTTGTGCCACTTCATACAAAAACGGAAAGAGAAAGGAATGACTTTCAGAAAGGTCTTTTGGAAGAGATTTTAATTCCTGAGATTATCTACTGGGTATCTAGTATGTGTGACCCCCTCAGCCGTGTTCAGGAACTTGTACTTTTTTGGCATTTGCCTGAATATAATAAAAACTGAATTTTAACCAAATAAACTAAACAGAAAGAAGGTAAACTAACCAGGTATTGTTCAACATGTTAGGAAAATCGTTTCGTTATTGTTTTTCGACCACTAATGACAAAAAGCTTGCTCATTTCAAAGCAAAAGTCTGCTAAAAATTAAATGGGTGTCTGCATTAACCTTCATTAAAAAACCAGAACAATTTAAGTGTGGGCCAGGACATTAGGAAAATTTATCTAAATTTGAACAAATCCTGGAAAAATAGGACATCTGGCAGCCCTAAAATACGTGCAATTTTGGGAATTCTTAATTGCTACTACTCTTACTAAAAGTTTATTTCTTTTTAATGAAAATTCGTATTGACGAATTTTAAAAAGTGGTGTGTTGATTCGCATGCTTATCGTGTTTTCCTCCCGATTGCTGCTGATCAACTACTTATATTTTAAGGAGTTAAGTTTTGTTTCAGTCAAGCGCATATATTTTTGTGTATTTTAATTTCGTCTGAGATATACATGGTTTTGATGTGGCAAGCCCGTCGGTCTTGGAGCTGGTTCCAGAAGATAAAAATCAGGTAACAGATGTCCAGGCTGTATTTTTGGTGTGGAGGTAACAGTTCTCAACGCCTTTGAATGACGACTCAGGTGCCACATTTGACGAAGATGAAGCCAAAACAATATATAAGACCGCTAGACCAATACGAGCTGAAGATAACAGCAACAATAAAAACATTCAGTTTTGTCTCCAATTTGCGGTGCGCTTCTTGGCTTTGACACACAATTGGAGGGACCTAAAATGTTGAACCGCTCCGCATAATTGATGGTTTTTTATGAGAATCTTTTTATGGTAGAAATACATCTGGGGGTTAGCCAATGCCGGACGAGGGGCGGGTGCTGGTAGAAAACACTGTTATCAGAATTTGTTGAATGTTGCTCAGAACAGAAAGTGAACCTAGGACCTCTCGTGTGGTAGAACTCAACACTGACCACGTGACCACGGCGGAAGAGAACAACAATAGCGCGGTTAAAAAAATCAAAGACCCTAGAGCATCGGCTTTGGTCTGACGAAAATATGCTCGATGAATTGAACCGACTTTTGACAAGATTTGCATAGTACGTTAAATCAGAAGAAACCCTTGATATCTATTAAATGGTTAAATGAAAGCATTCTATGTATAAGTATAAATTAAATGGATATCACAGCGTATCCAAAAATATGAACAGGATAATTCAGGCTAAAATAGTAAAACGTCTTTTGTAAGATAATTGAAACACAGATGGCAAGATAGTTCGAAAGACTTTTGTTATTCTTGTGCAAAAGTCTTAGAAAAAGCTGTCTCATTCACCATTCGTGGTGAAAAGCTTTTTTTAAGAGAAAGCACTTATTTATCATATAGATCGTGTCGCTCCAACAACCCCAATGGCCGAGTGAACAAAGCTCTGGTGTGCTTTTCGACAGATCCGGGTTCGAAACATCGTGCAGCGATTTTTTTAGTATGTTTTTTTTTGTATATTTAATTATTTTGTAATTTAATTTAATTGTAAGGAATATATTTTGTGCAGTTTTTCTATTTGTTTTAAGATTTTGCTGTTTTAAACAAAAAAATATTTTTTTTTCTTAGTTTTATTAAATTTTTAGAAACGCATTTTTTATGTTTAATGAAATATTTTTTACTTCATCAATTAACTTTTTTTTGAAAAGAACAATCTTTTTCTTGAATTTTATTTTTAGGGTCTAATTTCCTTTCTTTATTTAAATTTTTTGTCTTTTTTAATTTAATTGTCTTTTGTTTTTAGATTCGGTTTTAATAATAAATTTTTGTTTAACTTCATTTAATTTTTAAGAACTATTTTCTTTTTGCTTGATTTAATTCTTTCTTATTTAATTTTCATTTAGTTTTTATTTTTTATAGCTTTAAAAAGAAAGATATATTTTTTGAATGTCATTTACGTTTTAAATTTTTTTTTTGCTCTTGCTTTATTTTCGTTTTATTATTATTATTATTTTTTAAATTTTGTATTTCGACAGCCTGCGCTGCGTTGAAAGACGGTTGCCAGAATTGTCCTGTAAGTTTTCAAAAACTTCGTATGGGTTTCAGCTAATGACTATACAGATCATATCCCGCAATGGGTGGTCCATTATTAATTCCTTTTATATGACAAATATTTTTTGACACAAATGTCTACTGGGTATATGTAAAATTAAGTTCTGGTCGAACTTACACACACTTCTATACCTGTACATGCATTTTTTCCCTATACTCACGCGCGGTTAGTTTACCTTTAGTATACCCTTAATCACACCTGAAAGTACCTAAGTGGCACAGGTAAAAGTTTGTAATGAAGTGGGTGAGCATAAATAATTTAATATGCAGGAAATTGTTACGATTACAAAAGTTAACTGCTGCAGCTAGGCACTAAAGTTACAAAGTGTACGCACGGCACATGAGAAAGACGAAGGAAATATGCATAGCGGAAACTCATATGCGCGGAATTTATGAGCGCGCAAACTTTTGCCTGAGCGAACGACGTAACGGTGCATGCGAAGTGAGCAAGTTGAAACTTACGCTTCCTTTAATTACATAAAATCACAAATCTTTATTACATTTTTAATTAAAAGCACTTATAAATTCACAAATTAAAATATTTCTTACTTATTTAGTACACATTCACTTAACACTAACGAGCGAATAGCGGCGGTCGGTCACTCCTGCCACGCGCACCTCTTTGCTTTGGTTTAAAACTGCACAGCACACATCAAAGTACATACTTTTTTCTTGCTTCCACCTCAAAGAGTTCTGTCAAATTCACTGCAATCGAATGTCCTCCTGAAATGTTATGTGCTCGCCGCGCTGCAGCGCATAGTTGGCTGCGTCAAGTTCGTTGCCCAGCATCTCACATAGCGCCGCTATGTAGGTCTGCGCCATTTGCAGCGTCTCATATTTGGACAGCTTCTGGTCAATTGTAGGAGCAGGCACCACCTCACGCAGCCGATCGAAGGCCTCATTTAGGCCATTCATGCGCTTGCGCTCGCGGGCATTGGCAGCTTGGCGTCGGCGCTTAAGCACGCTAGGGCTGGGTGGCTTTATGGTGGCGTCTGCTCTCTTCGAGCTTGAGTCCTTGCGCAGATGGGTTGCGGCACGTCTGTTATATTTGCCAGATGTCGCTGATATTGGTGAACCAGATTTACTGCGCGTCGTGCTTGTGGAGCACTCTCCAGCGGAGGCGGCAATGCCGGCATTGATTTGATGATGCAGCGACTGCTGTGGCGGGTTGAAGTTGTAGTTGGGAAAGAAATGATTCGCCTGTGTTATTGGTTGTAGNTGGCATTGAGTTGATGATGCAGCGACTGCTGTGGCGGGTTGAAGTTGTAGTTGGGAAAGAAATGATTCGCCTGTGTTATTGGTTGCAACGAACGATTTCCCGTATAGCTTACTGCGGCGGCGGGCCAATCGTGCAGCAACAGGTGGTTTTCTTTGTGACTACCCACGTCCGCGTGGCTCTCGGTGCCAGTGCTGATGATGGAGAGCGTGTAGCTGGGACTGCTTGCGTATTGCTGCGAACCATCTTCCTCGGAGGAGGCATACGAGAAATCACTGAAGCGCGTTGGGAAAGAATTAACGGAGTGCTGCTGGATTCGCTGCTCCAAATACTTTTGTTGTAGTTGCACAGCTTCGATGTTTAAGTTCATATTCTTCGAAAAGATCCTCACTTTACTGCGTGCTAACAAGAACTGTTTGTTCGTTGCAACTACTGGCGAGTTTGAAGCGCTTCAACGCCAGAATGCTAAGAATATGCCAGAAGGGCCAACTGTTCAACATTTCAACTGCTCCGGTGCGAAAGCGTCTTCTGCTGCTGTGGCTGCCATTTGGCCAACGAAGTCCCCATTGATGGTCTGCTAGTCGAATTTTGACCAACTGGCACGCGAATGACACGAGCTACGAGCGCGCGCGGCAGACATCCCTCATTGCGGTGGCGTTGACCATATGGTCGCAGCAAGGGAAGATTTCAAAGCAAANAGAATGCTAAGAATATGCCAGAAGGGCCAACTGTTCAACATTTCAACTGCTCCGGTGCTAAAGCGTCTTCTGCTGCTGTGGCTGCCATTTGGCCAACGAAGTCCCCATTGATGGTCTGCTAGTCGAATTTTGACCAACTGGCACGCGAGTGACACGAGCTACGAGCGCGCGCGGCAGACATCCCTCATTGCGGTGGCGTTGACCATATGGTCGCAGCAAGGGAAGATTTCAAAGCAATAACATCAGCCGCACTGTGGAAAAACAAAGCGGGGTAGAGAAATGAAAAAAAAAAATTGAAAAAAAATATGATAGTCGGAATGTAAAACAGTTAATTTAAGGATCATCATTATTAACATATCAGTAGCGGCAGGATCAGTGCCGCACGTTGCCGCATGTTGTTGTTGCATTCTTCCCCTTTCCCAACGCATTACTCAGGGGTTGTCATGCACACATACACACCAACACATATACTTTTAAATGCTCACTTCAACTTCATCAACTAACCTGCGCTGCGCTGTCGTGCTGCCTGCCTACACTACCTTCCCTTTGCACTGCTTCTCCTCTCCCTAAATTGCCGCTATCATGGAGTGCGATCGTATAATTTGTGACTTTCACGGTTTATAGCACACACAAGTCACTGCTGCGCTGCACCGCAGCCAACGAAAACATTGAGGCAATGAAAAGTTAGTTTCAAAAAAAAAAAACAAAAAGTGATATAAAAACAAGAAACATGAATAAATGCTATTTTATGTCAGCGTTGGCTCTTCAGCCATATGTTATACTCAACGCAGCATATGCGTTACTTCAAGGCTCTCCTCGGGCACGCGCTGAAATTGCCGTTATCCTTACTGCATGCACACTTTGTTGACGCTGCTTCTAGGTAGGTACTGTGGTTAATGCATTTTTTGGCACCCTCTGGCAGCGTTGACCGTCGAGTCGTTTTATTTTGTGCTACATACTCTTACTAAAGGCACGCTCAACTTGCACTCTCGTTGCATACTCCGCAGTGTTAACTCTGTTTTGTTGTTGTTTTAGTGTTAGTCCTTTTAGATACTGGCGCTGCTGTTGTTTTTTTTATCTCTTGTGGCTTGTTTTTAAACTTTTTTTGCGCAGACTTTTATTCTCCTTTAACTGCTTCGTTTTAGTCTTCGCTGCGAGGAGTCAGAAAGTTATAATAAAACTCTGTACGTGGTACGGATATGACCTGTGAACTTGACAGTGAAAGTTTTGAATTTTCACTTAAGCATTAAGTTATACCCATATAGGTATATTCTATTAAGGCATTTTTAAGATTTAATATTGGGTACCTATTATATACTTGCGGTGACCATATTTTTGAAATAACAATAGAGTAGAAGTTTCCATTATGTACATATGTTACGAGCTTTATCGGAGCCATAATATTACAAAAAAGCAAGTGCGCCTGGGCCACACTGGAGAAGTGAAACTTACGATACATATGCATTTAGTCTCATAACCAATATACATACATACATACATACATCTGCTTTTGCTTAAGGTTATATTTTTGTATTTTTTCTATCTACATAGATCCCTACTTCTACTCATGTTCGTTCCAATTACATTTATGTTATTCTGTTTTCTTTATCTTCATTTTTATCTTCATACTCTATCGATAATAAAATCTATTGTATCATATAACAAAATATCGATAACAAAACCGATAAAATTATTGGTAACAAAATCGATAAATAATCGATAACAAAAATCAATAAGAAAATCGATAAAAAATATCGATAACAAAATCGATTACAGAATCGATAAATAATGGATAACAAAATCGAATAATATCGATAACAAAATCTATAATAATATCGATAACAAAACCAATGCCAATATCGATAACAAAATCGGTAAAAATATCGATAAGTTAAGAAGATATCCATAGCAAAATCAATAAAAATTTCGATAACAAAATCGATAAAAATATCAATAACAAAACCGAAAAAAATATCGATTATTATAGCGATAAGTCATGCGAATCTCGAAAATCTCTAGAATTCCAAAAAAATTCCCAGATTGATTGTCTGTAATTACTTTTATTTTAATCTATATTCATCTATAATTTTTTCGGTATCCTCATCCTCATCTTTTTCTTTATATTTATCTTTGCCTTTACATTTATGTTTATCATTTTCTTCATCTACATATTCCCCTTCACATTTGCCCTTATATAAGTAAAGTGTTTAAATGTACCTTGGTCTTCATTTTTGCCTTTATCTTTAAGCATCTTTGTTTTTGTTTCTATTCTTTGCCTTTATCCTTTTCTTTATCTATGTACGTATTCACCTTTACTTTCATTCTTGTATTGGTATTTTTCTAAGTGTTATTCTTTAACCTAGCAAGTTTTTGTTAGATTAGTACCATGTGCATACACTCAAGAAGCACTTGTTTCAGCCCCAACCATTTCCGGTGCACCACTTCCGTTGCATCATTTCCGTCGCACCGTTTCCGTGTGCAATTTCCGTGAATTTGCCAAATTAGTCCCAACCAACCAACCGCCGCTAAAGATGTGGTTTGTAGCTTTATACAGCTAACGTAAGGCCTATTCTTTTCTTCGGTGATGACGGTGATGGTGACGGAAGAAGGGCAAGAACACGTCCAACAGCAAAATGGAAACGGTGCTTACCACTATGGCCTTTCCCTTCATTCCCAGCAAAGCTCCTACAGTTGTGACAAACTTCAGTCTAGCGTAAATGTTAATATGTAAAAATCTTGCCTGATTGCTGTGATCATAAGTTTTCGACCAGAAACTCCGTGGGAACAGTGCAAAGAGCGCTCTGTTTAAGCTTAATAGTAAAGTCCGCTGGAATAACTAGTACGTTCGCTTTCGCCTTGTTCTGCCAGCAGCAGCGCTTTCTACAATGAACGCATAGCAGATAATACTTTGGACACTAAATTAACATAGTAAAGATAAATAAATAAATACTTCGTATACAAAATTGCGTTGCTCTTATCCTCTTTTTTCTCTTGTCCATAATTCATACTTTTATATTATAAAAATAAAATTCACCATCAAAGCTATGCAAAATTATTACTTTGGTGTAGCGCGAACGTAAATAACAACAAGTAAGAAAGTCTAAGTTCGGGCGGAGCCGAACATTAAATACCCGGCGCAAGTATTACATGTTTTATGTTTTCCACCTTGCCGAAAGCTACCGCTACATGATAAGCCGGGGTG